CCTAGGGCAGTGCTTTTCCCTAACAAAGGTCAATCTTCACCTTAACTGAGCCTGTCCATTGTCTTTTTGCATCTGGGATGACAGCCTTCAGGACGTCAAGGTAATTTCCTTCCACCCTGTGCTCCCCACCCCCGAGCGCAATCACCCACCCGAGCAGAGACCACAAATCCCCTCAATGTTATCCTGTTAATTGTTGAGTGTTAAGTATCCTATACCCACAAACGTTAATGAAGCAACTCTTTCTTTTACTTTTTATCCAGTCCCAAAGATTTCCCCCACTTTGCTTTCTCCCGCCTCCTTAATCTGTCACCGGTGAATTTCCTGTAACTCCCTGCTATCTTCTTCCCCTTTGACTCAGACATAAAATAAGTAGTAAAACTGCCCTGGCCGCCTGGTTCAGTTGGTTGGAGCACCAAAAGGTTTCGGGTTCGATTCCCAGTCGGGGCACATACCTAGGTTGCAGGTTTGATTTGTGGTTGGAGCAAGTATGGGAGGCAACCTATCAATATTTTTCTCTCCCTTCCTCACTCTCTAAACATCTATATATATATTGAGAAATTAAATAAGTGGTACATTTACCTTAACTGGTAAATTTGCCATTTTCCAGAGCATTTTCTCAGTCCTTTGAGATTTTGCTTCCTGGCGGTTGTCAGTGCCGTTCAAACAAACTCATGAAAACTCTGCAGGTTTGAACATTTCTTACGTTGCCAAAACTATGGCATGCTGAGGTCCAAGTGACGGTAAATGGCAAAGCAGGGATTAAAAACTGGGCTGTCTAGTTCTTTTGTCTACGTTCTTAACCACTACACTGTTAAGTACTTTGTAGGGTGGTTGTAGGATTAAATATGTGTAAACCACTAAAAACAATCCCTGGCACATATTATTACTTTTAGTTGTTTTTTTTTACTCTCCAGCTTATTATTGTGACAGTTCTGCTCGCATGCTTGTCCTGAGGGCCAGTAGCTGCTTTGCACACAGCACACACTCTCAGATGAATTATCAGCCGCCCACTGCCGCGCGGACGGGCGCAGCACGACCTGCCTCGAGGGACCCAGGCGGGTCCGACAGCGGGTCCCACACCCGCTCGCAAAGCGTCCGCTACAGACGCGCGCTCGAACTGGGGCGCCCCGCGAGGCATCACGGGAGTCTCGCCGCCTGACGTCACCAGGGAGCGCGGGCGCTCGGTCCCGCTTGGAGCCTCAGTTCCGGCGCACTTCCCCCGGCCGCCGTCTCGCCGGCGAATCCCGCCCGCCCCGCACCCGCGGAGCCGTGGTCACTGGGAGGCCTGCCCTGACGCCTGTCGTTTGGGGTCGTGCAGAGAAAGAAAGGCCCCGGGGGTGAGAGGGAGCAGGGCGGGCCCATCGCCGGCCTCTGACACTATGGCCGTCCCGGGACTTCGCGGCCTGCAGTCGCCTCTGGCCCTGTGGACCCCATTCTGCCTCGAGCCGCCCCGGACGACTCCCCGTGAGTCAGCAGGCCTAGGCAAGCTCCTAACACCGCAGGTTTCCTTCGCGCGGTTTGTCACCGTTTGTCGTTCTTACGAGGTTATTTTCTCTCCTCGATTAGTTTGTGGGCTGCAGCAGCCCTAGGATGAAACGTTAGTGGGCTTCATGTTAAAATCTGGTGTAAGCCAGAAACTTCTTTTAATAAGTGCATGGTATTACTGTCTTAAAGGCAGCGGAAGAAGTTGATAACGTGGGTTGGAGAAAAGGGAACTGAATGCCTGAAGAGAGTGAAATTCTCTCTTCATCCTTTAGTTCCGTTTCTAGCTGTTACCTAAGCTTTATTTTAAAAAAGTTTTAAATTTCATCAAGGCATGCATACTAGGACCCTTTACGGAACAGAGTTTAAAAACTTATATTTGGTTTTATAAATAAAAAGTAACTTAGGAAAAGCCATAGATCTATGAATCATAAGATACCACAAATTCTCCTCCTTGCTCATGGGGAAAGATGTTTTGTCACCTACAGGTATCTCCCCTTTGTCGTGTTATCTCCCCTTCTTGGCTCTAATGTTTCTCTGGTCAGAGAGGTATTTGAGTTCAACAAATAAAATCTCCAGCAGTTATTTTTTTGCTGTTACCTGCTAGGACTGGTGCTATCACGTTTTGTTGTTTGTGGTGGTTTGTGTTTTTTTAAAGAATAAAGTTGAAACACTTGTTGAAGTCACTTAACTTTTTCATCTAAAGTGGCTTATGTGCCAGAAAAAGTTCATACACATAGTGGAACAGCAACTGGGATAAAAGGGCATTCTTATAGTTCATGTCTGAATTTAAAAACACCCCTGCTTATTACCTTAACCAGTTGATTAAACTTAATTTCACTAATAGAGGTCTAAGCTGACATTATATACAGTATCACCTATGAAATATTCTTGCTAAAAATGTTTAACTCAAAACTAGCCAAGCCTTTATTTTTTTATTTTCTCTTTTCAGTCAAGCCTTTAAACTTCCAGTTTGCAGGAAATAAAAGAAAGGCATAATAGACACCATGATGAAACTATCAGATAAATACAGAATGTGGGACACCTAATTTTGTCTCATCAAAAAGTCACTGTTGGCCCTGGCTGGGTAGCTCAGTTAGTCAGAACATCATCTGGATACACCAAGGTCTCGGGTTTGATCCAGGGTCAGGGCACATATGAATGCAACCAATGAATGCATAAATAAGTGGAACACAAACCAATGTTTCTCTCTGTCATTCTCTCCTCTCCTCGCTCTCTAAAACCAATTTTTAAAAAAGTATCATTAAAAAAAAAGATGTAGGGAGACAGTGTTTTGGATTTAAAGGGACTAAAGAGACGATCAAATCCAATGTGTGAACTATGACTGGATCCTGGCTTGAAAAAACATCCATAAAACACATTTTGGGAACAATTGGGAGACATTTCAATAAGCATTAAATGTCAAATGTGATAATGGTATATTGTAGTTATATACTAAAGTATACTAAGGGGTAAAGTATTATAATATCTGAAATTTAATTTCAAATGTTCAGTAAAAATTTATGTGCATAAAGCATACATGGCAGTATGTTAATTTTTGAAACTAGGTGGTGTGTACTGGTGTTTTTTGTACTATTTCCACTTTTCTGTATGTTTCAATTTTTTCATAAGAAGCTGGGGGGAAACATGCATCCTTGCCACAAGTCACACATAGATGAAGGAAAAAAAGCCAGCTGACCCATGCTGGACAGGCCTTGCCCCTCCAAGGCACCTTCTCGTTAGAAGTGGTGGAAGAAGCTCCAGGTTAGTAGGGAGGCTGTCAGTGCTCCTTTCCCCCTGGCCTCCCTAGGCCTCTGTGTCCCCTTTGGAAAGTGATGTTTTGGATTAGATTCAGATAGATCCAAAAAGTTCCTTGGTACATGTTTTAGATAATCCAGGTGGCCTCATACTTCTTGCATGGAGGCTGGTGGCTCTAAAGGTGAATGTCCCAAAAGAACCAGGCAGAAGCTATACAGCCTTTTAAGACCTAGTCTCAGAAGTCAGTGTGTGTCACTTCCACCATAGTACCAGATTAAGAGGGAAGGAACATAAGACCTCACCTCTTGATGGCAAGAGCATCAAACTCACAGTATAAGAGAAGAGCATATGAGTTGGAAGACAATTGTTGAGTACATTTTTTAATGCATTTGTAAATATTACATTGCCACAACACTCCCGTTGTTCTATAGCGGTTTGTCTCTCAGCTGATTCCCAGATTGTGCCCTCTGAGCAAAGGGGCCTCTCTCTTCCCCAGCTCTCTGCTCTGGCTTGGCTACTCTGAAAGACCTGCACTAGGGTTGCAGTGTGATAATGGAAGCCTAAACAGGGCTTGAACATGAATGAATTACTTGAAATTCAGAATGTGACTTGAGCCTTTCTTCCCAAGGTTGTTAAATTTTCAAAAATATTAACTCCTTGACAGCCTAATCTCATGGCTTCAATTATCAACTCCATGTGAACAACTCAGATCTTGAGACTCTACATCTTTTCTAAGCCTCAGGGATTTCCAGCTATTTACTGGTTATTTTCACTCATTAATTATCACCTCAATTGGATTCTTATGCTCAAAACAGTTCACCCTTCAGAATCCCCAACTTCCAAAACCTCCACCACCAAGCTGTCAGGATCAAAATCTTGCCAATCTGACTTTCAACTCCCAGACCAAATCTATTTCAAACTGCTACCTTTCCTATAACAGCACCATAGTCCACATCCTCATTACTTCCTCTAGGGAATATATCACACTTTCGCCCTAAATGGCCTTTCTTCCACAGTTCCATCTTTATAAAGCCTACCTAAACCATTCCCATTGCACATCTCTTACACACTGGCAGTGGCTCTGCAATCTTCTCTCTGGCTCTCAGGGTTACCCAAAGCTGGTTCCCAGCATATCCAGCACACTACCATGCATTTCCACATCAAGCTGCCCCATTCAAGCAGGGATAGTCTCTCCCATTGTCCTTGGGACAGTGACATTTTGCCTTGCATTATAACCCCAAATGATGATGGAGTTGAGTACTTCAGGAGCTCAGAGGGAGACAAATGTGGGTGAAGACAATAGCCTCCAAATAGTTGTGTCTTTTGGGCAGCTGGTAGATGAAGGAGTGAATGATATATGTAAAGAAGGTATTTTTTTTTTTCAGTAGGTGCAGTGGAGCAGACTCCTGAACTGGTCTGAGCTGTAGAGTATTCACAAGTTCAAGTTATCTATGCCTTTAATAAAAGAGACTCAAATCCGCCCAGACCAGTGTGGCTTAGTTGGTTGAGAGTCATCCTGTGCACTGAAAGGTCACCAGTTCGATTCCCGGTCAGGGCACATGCCCAGGTTGCTGGCTTGGTCCCTGGTCAGGGTGCCTGCAGGAGGCAGCTGATGGACATTTCTCTCCCACACTGCTGATTCTCTCTCTCCCTTTCTTTCTAAAAAAAAAAAAAATCAATAAAAAAAAGACAGAATCAAATCCAGGCCTGGAGCTGAAAGAAAAGCCTTCAGTGAAAGACTGTTTCATAAATCATAAAAGTACAGATTCAATCAGATTTAATTTAAAAAATGGAATGTATCTTACATAAGCATCTTCTAAGTTAAAAATGTTATACCTATCTGGGTACTACAGAAGATGCACAAACCTTCCAGAGCTCATAGAAGGAGTAGATAGTTTTGATACAGGCATGAAGGAACAACTGAAAAAGTTTACAAATCGAAAGGCAGAAAATGCTTCAAGAGGCACGTCCTCAGAAATTGTCCTGGAATGCAGTTTCACTTGTATCAATGTCATGTTCCTGGGTGAGAGAATAAGACATATATTTTAGTATTTCAATGCAAAGTCTAAAATGTGATCTTCAGTGTTCTTTGATTAGAGATTCTGAAACATCATTAATTGGGACACATAGGTAATCTCTGGCTGTAAGCCCAAGTGTCAAGTTTTCACTACCAGGACAAGGCTTTTGACCACTGCTTATCATCCACCATGATGAGTTGTTGGTCCTTAGTCCGGAGAAAGGTGGTTTCTAAGATGAAGTGCTGCTCTATTCTTTGCTCAGTTCTCTCTAGCCACACTGGCATCATTGTTCCTCATACTTGCCAGGCAAAGACCAGCCTTAGGGGCTTGGCACAGGTCTTCCCTCTGCCTGGGACACTCATCCCCCAGCTTTCTGTGTGGCTAAATTCTTCAACACTTTCATGTCTTTGTGCCAGTATTAGTGTTGTAGTGAGGCCTACCCCAACCACCCTATGTAATACTGCCATGTTCAGCACACTAATCCCCTTACCCTGCTCTGCTTTCTTTTTTATACCACAGCACTTATCTAGCATACTATGTGATTTACTTATATATTATAGTTATTGTTTACTATCTCCTTCAGCTAGAATATAAGTTCTATAAGTGCAGGGGTTGTTATGTTCACTTAGTAGTTACTTAATAAATACTTGCAGAATGAATGAATGGCATAAAACTCAGTTTATGGATGATACCATCACTCGAAGGGCTCCCACACAAGTAGGCCTTCTAGACTCTGTACCTGGTTCAATTTCTTGAACTCCACCACTTGGAAGAAGATGTGCTCAAGAATATGTTTGGCATCTTGTTGGTCCTTTGGTAGTTTATTGGTTACTCCAAGAATGTCACCACACTTCCTGACATAGAATTCCAGGTCTTCTTCAGTACCTAAGCACAGTTGGGACAGTTAGAGTAACCCTTACCTTCTGCCCTTTCCCAAGTACAAACTTATTATGATTTAAGTACCCCTTGTCAGATTCCTGCAACTCTCAAGATCATTCACCTCCTCCTTGGGTAATGTCACCACAGGACACACTGTCATGGTCTCTGACGTGTTGGTTTTATAAGTTAGGACAAAAGTGTGACACTCCGAATTAGAATAAAGCTGGACTGGCCCTGGCTCTCCTATTCCCAGATCCAGCATTCCTACATTACAAAGAACAGCAACCAGTAGGAAATCAAATTACCATTCTCTGTATGTAGCAAGGACCATTATGAGAAGGGCACATGGGTATTTTACATAGCATTTATTATAGCAATATTATAAAAAGAAATTAAAGAAAAAATCATCCATCATTCCATCAACAGCGTATCTCTGTGAAGCCATCCCCAGCAGCCCCATATTCATGATGGACAGCTATTACTGCCCTTCTTACACTGTAATTTCTTTTTCCCCCCTGACTTGCCTTTTTAAATGTTATGACTGAAATGTAATTTTTTAAATTAAAATACTCAAACCATATAGCTCTCGTACTACCTCTGTCCCCACCAATACTATCTAGGGTAATTACTGCCACATTATGCCTATATATTTACATATGTAAAAATGGGATCAAACTATAATAGTTCTGTCAGTTGCCGTCATCATTTAACCATGTACATTTGGACATTCCATGTCAAAGCTTACATCTTTCTCTTAACAGATGTATAATATTCTACTTTATTTTGTATTTTTTAACTAATCCCCCTACTGATGGACCGTTAGACTGTTGCCAGTTTTTTGAATGCTGTATCTTTTTTGTTTTGCATTTCAAGGATTTCTGTAGGATAAATTGCTAGAATTGGAAATGCTGGGTCACATCATTATTACTGGTCTATTATTACTACTGGACTAACCACTATGTCTTGCTAATTTTTGATTGCCCAGCACCTACCACAGTGCCTGGCACAGAACAGAGCTGCAGTAAAGGTGTTTTACATGGAACAATTTTCATTTTTGCATACTCCTTTCTGGCCTCTGGGGACATATAGGTGTTGACATAGCTGGGATCCAACTGGATGTGCAGTTTTCTATCTTGCATTCTTCATTTAGGATTCTCACTTAAATTCTATCAGTGTCACTCCCTGCCCTTTGTAAACCTCTTTTATAATGATTGCATGTTGTCCCATCTATTGAATGTAGCGCAATTTATTACCATTCCCCTGCTAGTGAACACTGAAGTCGTTCCCAATTGTATTTTATTTTTTTAATATGTCTTTATTCATTTCAGAGAGAGAAAGGGAGAGGGAGAGAGAGAAATATCAATGATGTGAGAGAGTCATTGATTGGCTGCCTCCTGCAAGCCCCCTACTGAGCATGTGCCCTGACCAGGAATCAAACCATGATCTCCTGGAACATAGGTTGATGCTCAACTGCTGAGCCATGCCAGCTGGGCTGTATTTTATTTTTTAAGTAAATAATGTAGTCATCTGTGTACCTTCATTTATCTCCTTAGATTCCCAGGAGTGGGGTCTCTGTCTCAAAATGGTTAAGTTTATGCCTCTCAGTGTATGTGTGCAGGCCCATTTGCTGTGCTGAAGGCAGTGTATGTCAGAGGGAGCACTGGACCAAGAGTCCGGAGTACCACTCCATGCAGCTGTGTGGCCTGGGGCTTCATTTCCTCATCCACATGTAAAGTGAACATGCTTGACTCTCTCTAGGATCCCTTTGAAGGATCCAGTTTGAAGTCTCCATAATTCTTTTGGCCTTGACTGCATTTTCCTATTTAACTGCTCCTATGACTGTGACCTAGATTTGCTGTGGCAGCCAGGCTCAGAATTCATTCTGTGGTCACTGGATAGGTCAAAACTAAGGACCTACAGGGATTACAACTGAGACTTTGGCTTCTGCTCAGCACCATGTTCTAACTCACTGAGCTAACTGGCCTAGAGAGAATTAACATCCTTTACCTGAAATAAACAAAAACTATAAATTATACTCCAGTTCATGTTTTGTTCTTCCTAAATAAATGTTAAGCTTTCTCTCATGGCTTATCTCAGAAGTTCACAATTAAGTAAAACTCACAAAAGAAGACAGACAAAAATTTGGCTAAACTTACACTTATTGGTAATCTGTGCAAGCCGTGCCTTCTCAGAGGAGAACGTCTCATCCAGGTCAAACAGCTCCAACGGAGGAGGTGGCAATTCCCTGAAACTGGGAGGGAAAACCTGAAAGAAATAAGGTCTGTCGTGAAAGAGTATATCCAAAGCCAACCTGACAGTGATGAGACGTAAGGGAAACGAGAGGCCAACTCAGCCCTTCCCTGGGATAGACTATCCATCTCCTCCTCCTGCCCTCACCCATCAGACTATATCAAGCAAGCTGACTAGCCCATTGTAAACAACCAAGCAGAGCCAGCTCTAACTACACCACTAAAATGACCAAGCTGACGTACCAGCCCCCACTGACTCCTGCAAGAACACAAAGCTTAAGGCTTATTAGGCTTATCTGGGTGAACATTTGATTTGTACAACTTATTTCTCATTTAATTATGAATTCTTTAGGGACAAAAACTGGGGAAGCAGATGTAAATTAGTGCAGAAAGTGCTAAACTTGGAGCCAAAATTCACAGGTATGAACCAGTGGTGTGCTGATAAATGTTTATCAGCTCTCAAAACAAAAGGCCTGATCTACAGCATTTGTGACTTTCTGTGATGTAAATACTTCCACATGGCCAATTTCAAGCTACCAAGATGAAGCCAAATGGCTCAGAGTATTCCAGAATGTGATGGAATAAGTCAATTATGAAGACAAGTTGAGTAAATGCTGGACTAGAATGTTGGAAAATCACTTATATACACATGACTATGAGCTGGGCTGTTAAAACTGTGTTGTGAATCTCAGTGCCTGTTGCCTAGAAAGCCGCAGCACAACACTTTTCCTCCTGTTTACCTAGAAATTCTCACATACGCCCTCCAACCCCACAAGATGGGAAATGTTTATCACCAAAAAACATCCATAGCCTTGATTTTGCAGTTGGGAACTACACCAAATGAAAGTCCCTGTAAAATGCTAGTAGGTTTGGTTTCTGTGCATGGTTAGAGCCAGAGAAATGAGCCTCCATGAGGAATGGCACAAATGGCATATGGAAGGATCCACAGGAGAGGCCCAGCTGGCAAGGGAAGGCCATATAGCGGGGTTCTGCAGTGGGATCCCCCAGGCACACCTACTCACCGCCGGCTGAAGGGCAGGCAGCGGCGTCTCAAACTGAGGTTGGATGAGCTGGAGAGGTTCATGTTTCACATTGAGCTGTTCATAAGCCCTGTGTTAATATAAGACAGAAACACAGGGATCAAGATGAGAGACACTGTGCAAAGAACATCTAACTGATCACACTGCTCTTCTCCACCAAATCAGGCGGTTCAGCACTTCTGCAGAAAAAAACACAAAGTGTGTTCTTAAACGTAATGTAATAATCCTGTGAATCCTCTCTACTGCATCACAGTTTATGATTTCATTGAGAACTGAAAGGGAAAGTTCAAGGTTCATATCAGGCTTCTCCTAAATAGGCTTTTTATTGTTACCCACTGAACACTGATTCTTTTAACTCACTGTTTCCGTATTTGTTCTTATCATCAAGAAACGAGTCAAATCTGAAGTCTGCTTCTGGTAACTGAGCAGATCTACATGACATCCAAATCTGTGTGCTGATTCACTCAACAAATATTTACTGAATGTGTACTATGTAGCAGGTAATTTTAGTCACCAGGAGAATAGCAACAGTGAAAAAAAAGAGATCAAGGACCCTGGCCGGTGTGGCTCACTTGGTTGAGCATTGTCCTGTGCACCAGATCACCACTTTGATTCCTGGTCAAGGCACATGCCCAGGTTTTGGGTTCAGTCCCTGGGAGGCAATTGATTGATGTTCTCTCACATCCATGTTTTTCTTTCTCTCTTTCTCTCTCTCACTCCCACCCTCTCTCCCTCTCCCTTCCTCTCTCTCCAGAGGGTGAAGTCCTGCAGTACTTTCAAACTGTCCCAGGCAGAGGACAACAGGAAGAAGGGTGCTAGGCATTTTCACAGAGCAGCATGGTCATGTTTTCAAACCAAACACTCAGAATGGAGTGCAGTGCAGCTCAGAGAGCCACAGGTACTGACTTGATGACCTTGGAGAGGGAGGTGACATCCAGCTGGTAAATGGACAGGTCAAAGAGGGTGGTGAAGTCCCTCGGGTTCTCATCCCCCTCCTGGAGACACACTCGAAGCCGCTCTGACAGAGTGGCTGTGTCGGGCAGCATCATGTAGTCGGAAATCTGAAAGCCACAAGAGAGTTCCTTTCAGCAGGGTAGAAACAAGAATTTAATCTGTCAAGTCTCCAATGTCTCAGGTCTAAATCTTCAATATTTATAATCTCTTGCCAAGAGATTTCACTATTCACGATCACTGACAACCACCTTAAATAAGCCACTTTATGTGGAACAAGAAACAAATCACTTGGCTCAACCCTAATGCTGGCTAAATCCAACTTGCCAATTACTCATGCTGGTATTCATTCACAACACTGGACACAGCTGGAGAAACACACCACCATGCTGACTGGTCTGCTGTTAATTTTACAATTGCTGACCTTGAGTGCTCAGCAATCAATAATATTCCCCTAGTCCATCACTTTCCCATTCTCCTACACTTTCCTTTTGTCACTTCAACCATCTAAAGCAATTTTTTCTTTCCTAATTTTAGCTAATGACCTTATTTTCTATTTCAGTGAGAAAACCGGCAATCACAAAAGAAAGTCCACACGCTTCCACTACATCTACTCACCTACCAGCATCTGGGCCATACACTCTGCTTTCTCTCCTGTTTCTTTCCCCTATGACCCCAGTACAGACAACGCCTCCCTGTGGACACTAGACCCAGCCCTTCTCACCCCTAGCCAAGGACATGCTTAATGATGACACACGCTGTGTGTTGGTAACAGTAAAAGACCAGGAAATCTTAAATGTCCATCAATAGGAGATTGGCTAAATATACTACAAACAATGGAAAACACAGTCTTAAAAAAACAGAACAAAACAAAATCTCTTTATGAGTGAGTAAATACAGAAACATCTCCAAGACATATTGGTAATTTTATTTATTTATTGCTTCTTTCTTTTTAATCCTCACCTGAGGATATTTTTTCAATTGCTTTTCAGAGAAAGTGGAGGGGGGGGAAGAGAGAGAGAGAAAGAGAGAGAGAGAAACAAACATCGTTGTGAAAGAGACCCATCAACTAGTTGCCTCCTGTACCACGCGCCCTGACTAGGGCCAGGGATCGAGCCCTTGGCTGGAACTGAACCCAGGACCTTTCAGTCCATGGGCCAATGCTCTAACCACTGAGCAAAACCGGCTAGAGCCATATTGGTAATTTTAAAAAGTAAGGTGCTGGACAGTGTATACACACATATGAGAAACTGCTAAGGTTGCTGTCACTGGGGAGGGGAACAAAGCAAAGACTATTGTATATGCTTTTGAATTCCAAACTATGTGAATGCATTACCTATTCAAACATTAATTTAAATTTAAATAAATGAATGCTAACAACAAGAACTATTCCTAATTGCCCTTTGAGCTGCATTTAGCCTTGATTCTAACAAGGCCAACTTTGTAATAGTTTGAAAATTGGTCCTCTGAAATCACCTGCAACATACTGTCCTACATTCTCTAGGGCCAGCACGTGAGGAGACACACCTAAGCATTACAGAAATAAGACAAGACAAGCAGACTCACTTTTTTACTATATCCTAAGGGTCTAAAACTCCCCCAGTCCTCAACTTTTTTTGTAGATAAGAAACAAGGGAGAAGCATACATATAACTGCTCTTCCCCATAACACTGGGCTATTTTAGAAGCCTCAACCCTCTAATGCAGGAGTGGGGAACCTTTTTTCTGCCAAGGAACATTGGGATATTTATAACATCATCCACGGGCCATACAAAATTATCAACTTAAAAATTAGCTATGAATAAAGCTCCTAGATTTATTTGAATTTCGAGTCCCACTTGCGGTTGCCTTGGCAGGGCCAGACCAAATGATTTCACAGGCCATATATGGCCAGTGGGCCAGACATTCCCCACCCCTGCTCTAACGTGATGACAGTGGGTTGAAGATGAGAGCGATAGCAATGGCATGACTATGCCAGGACATACACCCAAAACACAGCACAGAGATTAACAATGGGCCCAACAATCCCAAAGGTTCAAAGGCTGATTCTCGTCTCTGCACAGAGGCATGCTACAAACTCCTAGTTCAGAGAACCATGAAGGCCTTAAGTGTCCAGACAGAAACATAAGAGTGCTCCCCAGACCACTGGTTTTCATGACTTCCTAGCAGATTTTGAGGTTAAAACTTGTTATGCAAATTCCTTCAACTCTTTATCGAGCTACCACTTTATTTGATTAAATATTTGAAACTGAGCTACACTGCCTGGGTTTAAAACCCATTTGGAGATCACAAGATTTGATCTGAAATCATAGGAAGTTCAGGTTTTCAGAATGTCTTACTTTACAATGCTACTGGATCCAGCCTTTTACTTTCTGGAGCCTTACAACACAAAGGACAGTTTTCACCAGGCCTCACACCTGGAAGATACATTAATCTGCACAATTTTAGAGGAAGGCTTCATGACACGGTATTCCTCTGGCTTTCTGTGGACACATCCCCTCTGAACCAGCTCAATGTCACGTGTAAACAACAGAGAAAAGGCACAGGCTCCAGAATCAAGCTGACGTGGGTATTAATAATGGCTTGGCCAGGTACTAAATTCAGCAGGGACCTTAAAAATTTACTTACTTCAGTTTCCTCAGCTAGAAAACAGGAGTGACAGAAACTGAGCAGGAGCAAGGTGGCCACCCAGAAAGGGAACAGATACAGCATCTCTCGGTGCTACATCCCTTGACCCACGACACGCTAACTAGGGTTGGCAAGTGCCAATGATCCATCCACTCAGAGTTGGGTCCTGCGAGATCTGAAAAGCGAATTCCTGGCTGTACCCCAATTCTTTTATCTTGGGGGATTACATCACTTTTCAGGAGGGATTTAAGCTATTAGCCATACACTTAATGTTTCCATGTAAGGGAGTAATTAGACATGGGGTTCTCCTATTTCCTAGCCTAAGTTAGCCCCTGGGACACCGTGTCCTCAGCTGAGGAAGGAAGCAATCAGGGGCCCCATTTCTGACTGCCTTCTTGCCCACCTCCTGCTATGCACCCAGGAAATCATTTTCCTGACATTTTAGAGGTTAAGGAACAGAGAAGCAATTATAGAATGAGTGGACTGAATCAGGAGACCTGGCTCCAAACATGCTTGAAATCTGAGCACACTGCAATCTTACAGAATTTTAGTTTCTTCATCTATAAAATGAGTTTAACACCATCTACCTCCCAGGGCTGTTGTGAGGCTTAGATAAGATGATTTATGTGGAAGTATATGATATACAGTAATTACAAAACTTTAAAAAATGTCTTATAGATGCCCTAGCTTCTTTGGCTCAGTGGGTTATAGTGTCAGCCTGCAGACTGAAGGGTCCTGGGTTCGATTCTGGCCAAGGGCACATACCTCGGTTGCAGGCTTGATCCCCGGCCCCAGCTGGGGCTGGTGCTAGAGGCAACCAATAGATGTGTCTCTCTCACATAGATGTTTCTCAATCACTCTCTCTCTCTCTGTCTCTCTCCCCTCCCCCCCTCCTTCCACTCTCTGTGAAAAGCAATGGAGAAAATACCCTCGGGTGAGGGTAAAAATAAACAACTCCGTATAGCAAAGCACCTGTCACACCTTCTAGCTTAACAGGTAAATTTACGCCTGTGGACCTCAGCCTCGCTGTCTCCCTGAGGCACTCAGCACAGCTATTAGTGTCTTTGGGAAACCAGGGTGAGAAAAAGGACAGAAACACCTGCTGAAGGTCCAAGGACTGGAGCTGAAGATTACTGGTTCCCAGGCCAGTGCTGGGTTCACCAGCGGCCCTGAGGCTAGTATTACTATAGTACCTTTAGGATTGTTATTCCCAAAGGCCACAAAATTATAGTTTAAAACTTCAATTAGAGTGATCTTTGTTTCTTCATGAAAAAGTTATTTTATATCCTTTATATTTCTGAAAGAAGTATTTCTCTACAGATACTGACTTTGAATGTTTGGGCCAAGGACCACATTTTAAAATTCCAATTATTCTATACATATAGAGGCTCCCACACCAATAAATTCTACAATTATAGCTTTTTTTGATTTTTTTTTGGTTAATCTTCACCTGAGGATATTTTTTCCATTGACTTTCAGAGAGAGTGGAAAGGATGGGGGAGAGGGGAGAGGAACATCAATGTGAGAGAGACACATCCACGGGGGGTAGAGATTGAACCTGCAACCCAGGTATGTGCCCTTGACCGGGAATCAAACTCACAGGGGCCAATGCTCTAACCACTCCTGCTGGCCAGGGCTGATTTATTATTTTTTTTACAACACAGCCTTCATCTCCCCAAAAAGTATCACTTCTTGCCACCTGCCTTACAGATAAAATAAGAGATATAAAATAAGAGATGGAACTGTTAGAAGTGGTGTTGAGAGGTGGATCCTTTTTTCATTTAAAAGTCTTTTTGATGATACACAACCTCCTACCTCTGGATCCTCAGCATCAATCTGGTTTAGGTGAATGTCTTCTGTTGTAAGCCACTGGAAAACAACATCCTGGATTTTAAAAAAAGAGTCAGAATTAGACACTTGTTTATTTGAGAAAGCCAAAGGCAGGAATAGAGAGTTCAGTCAATAAAAAAAAATTGATAACAGGAAAAAGACTGAACCAGTGATTCAAATGAAGATAGCCACCTCCTCTTTGTGAAATCACATAAAAATTATCAGAAATTTATCATTTATCTTAGGGCATTCTGTCCTCCAACCACAATCCAGAGTTTATTAAAACATGTTCCCAGTCCTGAAGCAATCCCCGTTTAATGTGCTCAGATGGTCTGAACTTAAAACAGAGAATACATCTAGATCTCCCCAGACTGTGTCTAGTGACACTGGAACTTCACGTGGGTTTCACAGAAACAAGCACTTAATTCATCTCCCAACACAAAGAGTCCTGAAGGCCTCAAGTCTCCAAGGCTGAAGGACTTTAGTTCATTAATTAAAAAGCTCAGTGGGAGCTTCCTCCTCTGGCAAGTGAGTCACTGGAATCATATCAATGGACAGCTTTGGCACACACGGTCTGTCACCCTTTACAGGTCTCCTTCACACTATTCTGACAACCAGTTGTATCTCATTCCCCACCTCAATCAGTGAACAGTTCTATCATAACCCCTCCTAGCCCTGAACAGTACTTCTCAGAAGTTAGAGCACAGGCCTGTGAACTGAAGGGTCTCGGGTTTGATTCTTGGTCAAGGGGACTACCTGGGTTGCAGGTTCAATCCCCAGCCCCAACCGTAGCATGTGCAGGAGGCAACCAATCAATGTGTCTCTCTCACATCAATGTTTCTCTCTCTCCCCCTCCCTCCCTCCCTCCTACTCTCTCTAAACATCAGGGAAAAAATATCCTGGGGGAGGATTAACAAAATAAATTAATAACCCCACCAGACCCTCCCCTTATTCACATCTTCACTACCTTCCTTCAGGTCCTGTCCCTTCTTGCCTGGCTGACTCCACCAGCCTCGGAACTGGCTCCAGGTTGCCTCCTCCTTTCCATTTTCCATACGCCTGACAGAGGGGTCTTTCTAAAACTCAGACCTGACTATGCCCAAGGCGGCTCAACACCCTGCAAGAGCTCCCCGGGGCTTTCTGCAGAAAGTTCAAGCTCCTAAACTTTGTACATGAGACCCTGACTGGGCTTGTTCCCAACCACTTCCCCAAGTCGGCTCCCACTCTAAGTTGGCATGTTTAGAAACATTCGCCTTGTCCTTCTGGATTTACTTCTCAGTCTCTCACACTCTCATTGTATTATACAGTCTCAGAGTAGAGACTATCCCTGACCCAACCTGCGTGGCACATAATGGGCTCTGAACAGCTGGTTTTAAATGAATAGATGAATGGGGCATTTTTTGAAATGACTTGAAAATCATACTTACACGTTATTCATTAATGTGATGAAAGGGAAAAGCTTACCATGATTTTGCTGTTTTCTTCTTTATCCAAATATTGGTCACTAAACATGTGACATGAGCCAAGCACTGCCAGCTTCCCACCTTGGTTCTGCAGATGACAAAGCAGCATCAGACACTCAGATCCCAAAATGCACTGCATGCACCCTAGTTTCCAAACACTCATCATCAGAATTGCAAAACATCTTGTCTTATATACAAATAAGTGCCAATTCTCATCAGGATTTCAACAGTCTAGAAATACCAACTATGATAATAACCACATTCCAATCTACTTCTCATTTTAGATACCTCTATATTCTATTTGACTTCAACAAAAACACTGTGAATTGATTCTACAGCATTTTCCCACTGTTGTCTTATAAATGAAGATCATAACCTTAAAGAAAGAAAAAGATAAATCCAAAGAGAGTTGAAGACGTTTTCAAGTACCAAAAATAGTATTTAGTTAACTAAGATCCAAACAAAAAACTAAGCCATGAGCATGAAAAATTCACAAAAGAAATTTTAAAATGTCAATATTAGTAACTGTAAACAAATCAAAATAAATTATTTTTGCCTATTAGATTAATAAATATGACAAAATGACTAAAAACAGTGTTGGTTGGGTTTCAGTGAGGTTATTTCATTGTTGCTGAAATTATCAACATATCCAACAAAGCAGTCGGAAATACACAAAAACTCTATACACTATTTCATAATCATAATCACAAAAAATTAGAAATAAACCCATTTGCCCTGGCCAGGTAGCCCAGTTGCTCCGAGTGTCGTCCCAATATGTCAAGATTTTGGGTTCAATCCCCAGTCAGGGCACATACAGGAGGCAACTGATCAATGTTTCTCTCTCACATCAATGTCTCTCTCTCTCTCTTCCTCTCAAAAAAAAAAATCAATAAACATATCCTCAGGTAAGGATTAAAAAAATTTTTCTTTAATTAAAAAAAAGTCATAATACAAGTAGCCTCATGCTATAGTGGCAAGCTTTGGATTTAGAATAAGAGCTAGGTTTAGGCCTTAACTCCATCAATTATCCCCACAAGTAAAATGTTGATCACTGAAATACAGGACTGTTGTGAAGACCAATGAGAAAATATCTAAAATCCCTCTGGAAACAGTAAAGCAGTTTTTACTATTTCAATAATAAAAACAACATACCACTCATATCTAAGAAAGGCTATACCTTGGAGTGGTAGAAAGCCAGAATGGGTCTGTTAAGCGGGAAACAGACAGAACCTGTGGACAGAACAGCCACTGCTGGTTTCATGACACTCAATGTGGCACCAAAAGGATATACAAAGGTGAGAGCCCTGTAAGACATTAAAGAAACATTCCAATTTTTAAAAATAATGAATAAAAACTTTTTTAAGACAATTTCGGTGTTTCTTCAGCAATTCATCATCACACAAAATTTCCCCTAAGCTTTGGTTAACACAAAAATTGGTATAATTCTTACTACAAGTTTAATAAAGCACTTTTAAGAAATATTAATGTAAATTAGCAATTGACAATCATATGTGCAAATGATTGTAACTGGAAGAACTAAAGTAGTCCCTATGGAGGGGGAGGAAGAGGGAGCTTCATCTAAAAACTGAACTAGAGCTCCACATGAGCCTGCTCTGTATGATGATGTCACAGAGAGACACATTTTCCTCTCCCTGTCAGACCTGACTGGTGCTCTCTCTAAGAATGAATGTCCATCATTAGAAGAGTATGTTACCAATTGAGTGCTTACATGAAAAAATATGTCTAGCCCCCACTGGACACTTCTACACAGATATGCCTTGGAGTTCCTCCTCTACTCTCCACTGTCCTAACAAAGACTTGGAAGTATCTCAAGTGAATCAGTCTGACTTGGACAGTGGTGTGGGGTGGAGGGGGGAAAGTAGGATGCAGATCCTGGGTTAAGGCCAACCTATGTAGAAGGGGCAGGGTTTTACTGAAAGAAAGCTGGAGCTCTGCAAAGATAAGTACTCTCAGAATGAAGAAAAATGGAAATGTTAAAACCAAAGCATAAAGTGAGAAATTTGGGTGGGTGAGAGGGCATGAGGAGTCTCCTATTAAGTGTTTAATTTCCACCCTGGCCATGTGACTCAGCTGATTGGATCCTCGTCCTGTACACCAAGAGGTTGAGGGTTCGATACTAGGTTAGGGCACATACCTCGGTGGTTGTGAGCATTAAATGAGGTAATACATGCCTGTCACATAGCAAGTGCTTGATAAATGTTAGGTGGTATCATTAAAGCAAAATATTATAAATTACCTGTATTTTCTATAATAAGAGATTAGTTAGACAAATTCAGAGAAATCCAATTTTATCTAGTCGTTAAAATTTTTTATATATGAAAAAAATCTAGAAATCTAAATATACTGATAAGACAGATTATCTTTGGTATAGATTTACAGTAAATTTTCTTTTTTTCTATTTTCTTTTCTTCAGAAGAAAGGTTTTTTTCTTACTTTTTTTTCAAATTCCTTTAGGGTCTGCCTTGATAAAATGCTACATTTTTATACCTGCTTCTGTTTTCTGTTTTTATATTCGATATTATCCTGGATTAGTTTCAGGTGTACAGCATAGGGGTTAGACAATCATACATTTTGAATTGTTCAAATTGGGGTTTTGGTGAGAATTACTTTTGTAACCAAAAGCTCTTCATTTTGAAAAAGAAAACTCTTCAGTTTTGAAAAAGGCATAATCTTCAGGCAGCCTCGGAAAACATACTCACTGGGCATTGTTTCCACTGCTCTCCTCATCAATGATTCCAGGCACAGCTTTCCCTGCAGCTCGGCTAATCTCCCTTGAAGAAAAATATTAAAATCGAGTAAACCAAAAAAATTTAGGAATTTCACACTCTATTCATTAGTAGCATAAATTAGATGCAAGGACTTTGCAGACCTGTTCAAGATACAATTCTTAATAACTAAAGGTATACACCCACCATACACCTACACCAGTTTTGGAAAACTTATAAAAGTTAACTCTGAAGTATAAGGATCAGTTCCTGTTTCTTGAGTCCTGAGGGAGGGGTCCATATATTAAACCCACATTCTAGTCTAGTATTGTAGACTCTGCATTATCAGAGCCAGCAGAATACCTCGCATGTAGCAAGTTCAAGTGTGGAATGAATCATTTTGAATATAGGGAAAAGCTTCCAGCGGGTACCTGATGCTGTCCCTCTCATGTACTCAATTCCCACTTCCCTAAAGCCCCTAATTTATGTTTTAGGATCCAGTGAATCAGAAAAAACTGGCTTCATCCCAGGCTTCAGGGAATATGACCTAGCTATGCCATCAGGACATTCTATGCCCTCTGCCATAGCAACAAGTCGGGATGTGCATGTGGGCCTAGCCAGCTAAAACAGGGTAAATGTCATGACTGTTCTTGATGGGAATGCAGGGACCAAGGCACACTCTCTTTCCCTAGATGGTGTGGCAAGTGGAGCTGAATCTGAGAATGTTAAAACTACTCAGCCCATACACTCAAGAGAGCAAACCCAAGAGAACTGCAGAAATCTGGAATTACAATCCTGAAGACATCATGTATTTTCAGTTAATCCATATCAAAAACCTGCCCTATTTCTGGGCCTTTCATTAGATGAATCAAATAAGTCTCTTTAGTGTTTAATTCCATTTGAGTAGGGTTTTCTGTTGCCTGCAACTGAATGTATTCTAACTGACAAAAGGGGGAATGTGAAGTAAGGTTTCAAAAGATGAGAGGAATATAAATTGATGGTGAGAAGTAATACAGTAAATAAATTATGATACAATAAAATCAAATAAAACAAAAGGAAAAAAGAAGAAGGGCCAGTGAAATGAATGTGTGAGAACAGATTAGGGAAGATTCATGTAGGAAAGATGAGAGTCACTTATAAAGGCATTTCTGCTTTTAACATGCTTACCTATTCAACACTCCATTGGAAACTAAAGCTTCTTTAGGATGGAAATACTTATAATATACATTTCTAACCACAGCATCTTTAAGGCAAAAAGAGAGGAAGGCACATTTTAGATTAGAAATAAGTTTGATACTATAGTCACTTAAAACTTTGACCTGAAAGGAACCCTGAAACTCTGTTCCAATCCTTTTCACTTTATAAACAGAAGCAGCCCAGGCCCAGAAGGTTCAGACTGCCAGCGAGACCAAAATGCTGGACCAGGTACCCTCACAGCCCAGAGATTTTTCCATTGTACTATTAGGCCCAGAGGACTAAAATATGAATAATAAATAGGAATTTAATGCCTCTATTAAATTAATAATAATAATTACCATTATTAACCATGATTCCATATTCTTCTAGGAGAAAGTTAATATTGGTGTCATATCTGGATTCCCCACCCTCTCCTAGCATCACAAGGATATCTCCACCGCCGTCAAGGTATTTCTTCAGGACCTCAAACTACGCAAAGGAAAAAAACAATCTATGAATATACCCCAAATACTCAAACTAAATTGACATTTTCCAAGTTGACAGCAAACTAAAAGTGGAAAACTATTAGCTAATGGAAGCTCACTGGTCTCCTTCATTCAGCAGCATCCCTGGTGTCTACTTACTAGATGCCAATTGCACCTACCCTCTCCTGACAACCAAAAATGTCTCCAGACATTGCCAAATATCCCCAGGCATTTGGTCGCTGACCCTCTCTGTGGATGCTCTCACTTTCCTGAGGCTGCTTGTTGGCAAAGACCTGGTCACTTCTCTCTGTCTTTCCTAGATGGAGAAGGGAGGCGGTGGGGGAGAAACTATATTGGAGTTAGGCCAAAGCCCAACAAGTAATAAAGTATTCCTTTGCAGGCCACTACTAGCTGTGCAAACATCTCCCTCAGGGTCTCACAGGGTAGGGTAGCTGGTCACCTCCATAATGCCAATGGTAATTCCTATTCCTCTCAATTCGCCTGATCAAGCAGTTACGAATCTGTGCCCTTCCCAGGTGAGGTGGCCTTGCAATCAGGCTGAGAAAAAAAAGACAACAGAAATGCTCCCCTGTGGACCTCCTCTCATGGCCCCACCCAGTATAAGAACAGGAGACCCTGGACTGCCTTAGCCTAAGAACCACACTGGCCCCACCCTGCCTTTACCTCCCTACTCCCCACAGCCCTCCCTATGCACCAAGACACTTCTCCAAGTCTCTGTGAGAAAGGCTCTTGCTGTGGTGTGGGGTTTTTTGGGTTTTTTTTTAATTGTGGTAAAGTACATATAACATAACATTTATCATCTTAACTATTTTAAGTGTACAGTTCAGCAGTATTAAGTATATTCAAACCGTTGTGCATCCAATCTACAGAACTCTTCATCTCACAAAACTAAAACTCTATATCCATTAAACAATTCCACATTTCCCTCCCCACCCTACCTCCACCCCTGACAACTACCATTCTAACTTTCCTTCTATGGATTTGACTACTCTAGATACATCATATAAATGGAATCAGACAGTATTTGTCATTTTGTGACTGGCTTATTTCACTCAGCATAACGTCCTCAATATTTATTCACATTGTAGCATTTATCAGATTTGCCTTCCTTTTTAAGGCTGAATAATAAATCATTGTGTGTATATACCATATTTTGTTTATCCATTCATCTCCTGGTAGACATGGGTTGCTTCTGCCTTTTGGCTACTGTAATATAAACACAGGTGTAAAAGTAACTAACTCTTTGAGATCCTGCTTTTAATTCTTTTGGATATACGTATATCCAGAAGTACAATTGCTGGATCATATGATAAGTCTATTTTTAATTTTGAGGAACCAGCATACTTTTTTCCACACTGTTTGAGGGTGCACCATTTTACATTTTCACCAACAGTGCACAAGGGTTCCAATTTCTCTATATCTTTGCCAACACTTGTTATTTGTATTCTGGGTTTTACATTTATCATTCTTTGTCTATTACATGAAATAAAGTAAAAAACAGCTTAATTTAAAATGGAATTTTCCTATTTTCAAAGCAAAAATATGGCAAAGAAGTATGGCTAATATTTAATTAGTCTGGCACTTTGTGTGCATTATCTCATTTAATCATCACAACAACTCAGTGATTAAGAGAGATGAAGTCAGTACCTGAAGGCAACACAGTAAGTGGTAAATAAGAATTTAAACCAGGATTTCAGAGCCCCTGCTCCTAACCATCTCATTATATTTCTTCTTTATGAAAATATATATATATGAATATATATGTGTGTTTTTTAATGGATATTTCTTACCTCAGCTGCAGTAAACTTTTCCCTTGGCCCAGCTGTAATCCACAGTTTCACCCCAATTAACTTCTCAGATGTAATTTCATCTTTTAAGCTACAAATATGATTTTAAAAGCAAATGTTAGATCCATAAGTAAACCAATTTATGAGTCATTTTAGCCTCTATACTATATGGAACCAGAGGCCACAAAGGCCCAGAGATGAAGGGATTTAGCCTCTCTCCCAAAGTAAGAATCTCCTCTATAAGCTCGAACCAGAGTGATTGGCCTCTGCTCAAATACTTCCTATAAGCCAATTTAAACTATGCTAGAGCATAAAGAAATCTTCCAACTACTAATGCAATCAGCTCTACCATTAGCTTGTATCCTTACCCATTAAGAAAAACTACACACCTACAAAAACAGAAATATTCTCACTTTTCCTTTCTCTAAACTGAAGTGTTAACCCAAGTTAAAATATGGAGAAAGCCTCTAACCTCTTAAAAAGTTGTATAATTAGAATACTTTGTATGTGTGTGATTTGGGGACAACTTAATAATATGCTAATTGCCAATTTTCAAAAAAGATGCTTTAATAATTTATTTAGTTCTGAATGAATGATCCTTAAATTGAGTTCCTCCCACCTAAACAATCTGGCTTACAAAAGGAAATAAAGACTTTCAGTTTTAGCAGCAGGCTATTATTATCTGGAAGGGAAAATAATCCACAGGGTTACCTCTGAATCTTCCAATTGCTCCGAAGTCTCTTCTGCATGGATTTATAGCCATTGTTGGTGGTAAATACTTCCTTTTTGTATGCATTGAAAAGAATGGTGCTCCGAAGCTCTTTCTCCATGGTTACCTATGGAAAAAAGAAAGGATCATCAGAAAAAGAACCCTGCCTAGGTGGGAGGAGCTCAATTTAAAGATCATTCAGAAAGGAAAACAATAAACAATATTCCAAAAGAAAGACCCGAAAAGGAAAAAATAGTCTACTTCTAATTTAATGAAAAAGGGTATAAAGCTGCAACCTACCTATGAAATCTCTGCAATTCTCAAAGGTTGAGAGTGAAATGCATAATCATAGCTGCAGAAACCTAAGGCCAACCCTGGTGACCTCCTGTCTCTTGCCCTGGCCTTCCCACCAGCCTACTTCCTTGGCCCTGCCCTGCCCTCATCCTACCCCTGTGGGAGACCATGATTCCTTACTGCTCACTACTGTTAACTACGAGGTATAGTCTTCTAGATTTTTATACATACGTTAACTTATAGTTTTATTAATGAAATAGAATCTTATCATATGCACTATTTTACAACACACTTCTTTCACTTAACCCTGTATTTTCCACATCTTTCCATGTTGGTACATAGGGATCCTTTTTTAAAACACAGTATTCTATTTTATGGATGTACCATAATTAATTTAACTAGTTATATACAGATTGACATTTTTTTTTTTCCTTCAAAACTTTTGCTAGTAAAACAATGTTACAAATAACAATCAGGAGGCGGCCTCTAGATGTTTCTCTCTCCCTTTCACTTCCTCTAAAATCAACAAAAACATTTTTTTTAACCAATCATCCTTGAACATGATGCTTTTGTGCATTTTCCGTATTTGTAGAATAAATTCCTACCTGTTGAATGGCTAAGTAAATTATTTCCAAGTTGCCCTCCAAAAAATTGTAATTTTTACTTCCACTAATACTAATGCAATCCTATTTCTAATCCTTTTAATCTTTTCTAGTAAGATAGACCCCCCCCATTATTGTTTTAATTAGCACTTTAAAATTAGTGAGATGGCCATCTTTCACTGTTGATATAGGCCACTTGTATTTCTTCTGATTTTCTTGATTATGTACTCTCCTTATTTTTCTATTGGGTTTAATATTTTTCTAACTAATCATTACACAAATACTTTCACAAATTTGTCTTTAGACTTAGCTTATGGGAGCTTTTGGGTTTGGTTTGGTGAAATTTTGCAGGCCAAACAGAGGGTTTTAAATTTTAGAGTCAAGCCCAGCCGGGCGTGGCTCAGCGGTTGAGCGTCGACCTAGGATCCAGGCCATCCGGGTTCGATTCCTGGTCAGGGCACATGTCCGGGTTGTGGGCTGCAGCCGATCAATGACTCTCTCATCATTGATGTCTCTATCTCTCTCTCCCTCTCCTTTCCTCTCTCTGAAATCAATAAAGATATATTTTTAAAATAAATAAATAAATAAATAAATAAATTTTAGAGTCAAAAGTATTAATCTTTTCCTTTCTTGCTTCTGGATTGCATGACCTATTTAGAAGAACTTTTGCCATGCTAAGATTATGGCTACACCTAACAATGCTTTCTTCCTGTACTTTCATATCATTTTAAAAAATTTAAATGTTGAGGCCCTGGCCGGGTAGCTCAGTTGATTAAGGTATCTTCCCTATATGCCAAGATTGTGGGTTCGATCTCCGGTCAGGGCACGTACAAGACGGTACCAATAAATGCATAAATAAGTGGAACAACAAATCAATGTTTCTCTCTCTCTCAAATCAATAAATAAAAAAATTAAATTAAAATTTTGGTCCATTTGGAATTTAGTTAGCAGAAAATAGTTTTTTTTACTAGAAAGCTGCCCGACACCAATCCAACTTCTCAATGCTGATTTAAAACATCACCTTGACTATATGTCACTATAAATACCTGAATCTTATCCTGAATTCTATATATTCTATCTGCCTGTAAGTTCCTGCTCAGTTCCATACTATTTCTATAGCTTTATAATATGTTATTATTTCTGGCGGTACTGGAGAGCTAATCCCCTTACTTTTTGTTGTTTTTGTTGGTTTTTACACACACACACACACACACCCTCACTACTCTTAATTTTTAGATTTTTCTGGCTAGTCTCATATTTATTTTTGCAGTTTAACTTTAAAATCATTTTTTCAGGTTACAAAAAAAGCCCCCATGAAACCACCACAGCTATCTTCTCACGTTTCATTCCATCCCTGTGCATGCTTGCTTTCTGTGTGTATACCCAATATCGTATTCTGCTTTCTCCAGTTTCCAACAGGAAAAGTCTTCATGATTAGGTGGGTGGTTGCATGATCCATTGCATGGCTATGTCATAATGACCTGAACCACTGCCCCCATTGGCATCTTTCAATTCCGTGCCATCATAGAGACTACTGGAATGTACATATTTCTGCTTTTGCCATTATTTTTGCCGCGGGACAGATTCCTAAGAGCGGGATTCCTAGGAAAAGGGAATGAGGCTAATATGTTACTGGTCCTTGGCCAACGCTCTTTCGTACTCAGCAGGACCACTGAAAATCCGCGGAGCAGGGAGCGATGGAGACTCGGACCCAGTCCGCGGTCGGGTATTCAGGCCTATGCCCGGGCCCACTTAACTTTACCCCAGAGGACCTCTGTTTTCCATAAGACTGGCCCAGAGCGCCCGAGGACAGTTCGGCGAAGCCCTCGCCACCGCCAGGCCGCCCCGGCGCCCCGGCTCTTCTTACCTGAGGCTCGGTGACCACCATCTTCACCTGACGCCGCCCAGCATCCCGCCGCCAGGTATCCAAGGCCGCTTAGCAACGGCGGAGGCCCGGCGGCGCGCTGGGAAGGCGTGACCTGGGCGTGGCCCGGAGCGTGGACGTGCTTCGACAGCCACGTGATGACGACAAAACGGATGACGCCAGTTCGCCCAGAGCGCCGGGGGTAGGGGGCGGAGCTAATTTAGGGCTGTACCATTATTTTGGGTGGGGGGGGTAAATCCAAATAGAACTTGGATTAACTTTGAACCAAAGGTAAACCGACTTAATTGTGTCTTCAGTATCAAGTCTCATTAAAGACTGATAAAAATGGTAGGTCCCAAGGGCCTAAACTTCCCGAGGACCCCGAGGATGGAAAACTGTGAAGACTTCCGGCCGGGGGTCGGGGGTGAGGAACAGCCCAGCCTCAATCCCAAGAGCGCAGGCGCGAAGAGGCGCGGGGCCTGGCTTTGCAGCCGAGACCTCGGAGCCTGAGGCTCTCGGAGCGACTCGGCGGGGTTTTGGCTCCGTGGGAGGTCGGGGAGGACTTCCCGGAGGAGGGTGGGCAGGTTTAGCGGTGAGAAAGGTGAAACGAGATAGTTCTTTCTCTTTGGTTAACCCCGCGACTCTGAGCACCGCAGTTCCGGGCCCAGGATATGGCGGTAAACACCCTCTAAGAGTCTCCAGGCGGGAAGTTACCCCGGGTCAGAGCATACAAAAAAGTGAAACTGTAAACTGTCTTAAGGAGCTGTGAGGGGCCGGAGCTGGGCAGAAAGGCGCCCCCGATGAGCTGCGATATGAAAGAGCGGTGTTCATGAAGGCAAGGGCTGGGAAGAGCGTTGCGGGCCGAAGGAGCTGCTTATGCGCCAGAGCCATCGCCGGGAGGGGAAAGCAGGTGCCAGTAAAGAGGCCCTTCCTTCTCCTAGGGGGGCGCCCTGAACCTGTGGACCTGTGTGGGTGCCACCACCTCGCTGGCTCAACCCAATGAGAGCAGACACTTCGGACAGTTTCTATTTGAATTTATGTTTGCTAGAATCTTCAACATGTACAGAGTGGTAGGACTGTTGGGATCTTAGAACAAACTCTTGTTGCCTTTTCACAATTACTGTCATTGCAGAGTTAAGTGGAGGAGAGTTATTCAGAATTCTTTTCCTGGGGTTGCTGTATTTTGGTGCAAAATTGGGTGAATACAGTCTTCGGTGAGGGATACAAATGGAAGTGATGTAGTTCCACTGTAGAGAGTGTAGGCTGTGCCACTTGAGTGTTAGGATGGGTCTAGGCATCCTTCTTGCTTTATGTAGTCAGTGTTCGCTAGAAGACTAAAAGTGTACCTGTCCAGAGCACTTCTCCCACTGTTGGAGGCTGTAGAAAGAGCAGAGGTCTTAGAATCAGCTGCTGCCAAGTTCAATTCCTGGCTGTGCCTTATACCAGCTGGGTGACCCTGGGCAAGTTGCTTAATCTCTCTGAGCAAATGTTTCTTATCTATGAAGGGAGGTTAATAATTTCTCAGTGCTAACTTACTGTGAAAATTGTAGATAATGCATGTAACACTCAGAATGTGCCCAGTAAACATGCGTGTAGTATGATCAATTCAATATCATAGTTTTTCTTCATTTCTATTTTCTATACTGCTGAAATGTTTGTGATCTTATAGTCTTAAAAGAGTCATTATGCTTTTTATAATCCATAGCAGATTGTGTACTTTTGACAGTACTAGCACATTTCAGACAATCTTGCATTTTGCTTTGGGAAGTTGGGGGGATTTTGGCCCCTCCTTCATGTTCCACTTTTCGATTTACAGACACTATTAAGATAGAAATCAAATCAGAGTGTTTCAGAGTTCTCTGTGCATGTCAAAGGGTCACAACAGATCTTCCTGACCCAGCTTTGATGTCCAGTGTCATTGTCATTGGTGTGTTTTCCATGATGTTCAGCTTCATCCCCTATAAATCCTACAGCAGGGGGCTGCCCTGGAAAAATGGAAGGGAGAGAGTGGAACTGAAGAGGAAAAGACAATGAAAATCACTGTGCACACTGATGTTAAGAAAGTTCCTCTCCTTCCACAAACCAAAAAGCTTCCACAAACCCAGAACCATAGGTGATGAACCATAGGTTTGTGGGGAGAAAAAAACCCAAAAACCACTTCCACTGAAATAAAGCAGCATGGTCCATCCTACAAGTGCAGGGTGTTCTGAATTCATGAGGTTATGTGTTCAGATTCTGCCCAGAATTACCTTGAGAAATGACTAATCCTGAATACATGGAGCTCTATAGGTGGCTGGAAAGCTCTGGTCACCAAGCGTGCACCAGTCTCCAGCCCTGTCCAAGGCCTGGGCTCCCATGCATGGCCTTAAACCTGCCAAACAGGGACAGGTGAGGTGGAGCACAGCATGAACTTGGCAACCAGCCTTAGACCATGAGTATCCAGTTAAATGTCTCCTACTCAACACCTCATTCCCACCACCTAGTTTATTCTGATCGATTCCTGACTTGGTTTTCACTAGAGATTTTGACAGCCATTCTGTTGGACCTAACAGAGTGAGAGGCAGATGAGCGCAAAGGTTACATGTGAGAGCGCTGGTGTCAGCTTATATGGCTCTTAAGTCCCAGCTCAGACCCTTACTATGTGACCAGGTAAGAAACAACTCTGACCCTGTTTCTTCATTGGGAAAAGGGGACAGTAATAGTTCCTACCTTGGGGTTGTTTGGATAAAAACTGATAATAGACTTGAAAGAGTCTAGCACAGAAACTGTTTCAGCATAGGCTGCTGTTCTGAAGCTGATTTGGGCCAATCAAGCCAAAAAAGAGGGTGTTAAAAGGATCAGAAGCTCTCAAAATCATTCGAAAGCTAGAGGTCAAGATGCAAGGCTTCCCAGGAATGACGGGAATGACACCACAGCACTGATATGAAGAAGCTACTGCTGCCACCGCCGCTGCCACTAAGTCCCAATTGCTACAATTCAAGCTGTTGCCACTTCTACACCAGGAACTTGGTTTTGTGGGTGCTGTCGCCACACCTACCGCATGAAAAAGAGCTTCCAGTCCCTTCTTTGAGTCAAAATCTAGCACAGGTGCATCTCTGGGCCACAGGCCTGACCCTAGCTGCAGGGGAGGCTGGGAAAGTCACTATCTAGAATTATAGCTACAGTAACTGGAGGTAGTTATGGAGCCTCATCCAGACTCATAAAGTAGGAGATTCCCTGAATATAGGAAGGGGTTTAGATGCCAGGCAGACAAATCTAATAACAAGTGTCCAACACTACCCACAACAAAGAGATACCATCAACATAAGAAAATAAAAAGATGTTAGGTGATACCCTATAGGTTGTCTCATCTCTGCCATTTTACACTTTGAAATCAAAATCTAAACACCAAGAGACCCGGTTGCCTACCCAACGTTCCCCCCACCTTCGTGTCAGGACGCCTGTGTTATTAGGGGTGATGAAGTACCAGCACGTAAGTCACATATCTCACCTCCATTACAGTAGGCATGGGTGGCTAGTGAGCAGAAGTCATTGGGTAGGGCTCCTGGGAAACTCTAAAAGTGTCCTTCTGCTCTTCCCTCCTTTTTCCTCTACCCAGAACACAAAAGCAATGGCTAGAGCTCCAGTAACCACCTTATAATAATGTAGCAACTAATAGTGAAGCCATTTGCCAAGATGGCAGAGCAAAATACAGAAAGCCTCTGAATATCTGATGACCTGTTGTCCCAGCCCTGGGCACCTAAGCACAATTCTTTATGTGCTGGGAAAATATCTTATTTAAGCCATTGTTACTTTGAGTCTCTGTTCCTGGCAGCTGAAGGTAATTCCTTACAGGTACCAGCTGCCTTCAGTGGTTTCACAGGTACTTCTCTCCTAGCAATCCAAGACGGCATCATCCTCCGGCACATAGGAAAATCCCTGGAATGCACTTGAGGCCCCGGAGCTGCCGGCCACAGTGTCTGGAGTGCAGCCAATGGACTTTGACACGGCTTCCTGGGTGAACTCTGGGTCAAAGTGTTTCAAGTCAGCAGGTCCTGCCTGTGAATATAAGCCAACGATGAGAAGGGAACACGGGTCAGAGCTGCCAAAGGAACCCACACCCCCCGAGAGGAATGTTAGGCCTGCCCTCTGAGTGCCTTCTGGACACCCTAACTTACCTGTCACCCCTGCCTTTACATTAGTTATTTTATTCCACGATGTCCAATAACCACTTATCAGTTCCTCTGACCCCCTGGCACCCTCCCCGCCTGCTCCACAATAACCCTCAGACAAGTCTAGTCAACATACACTTACTGAGTGCCTGCCGGGTACAGTTCATGGCCCTGGGAATGCAGGCCCCTGCTTTCATGGCGCTTACGTTGTACAGGGGTAGGATGATTGGTAATAAGCATGTACACAAATAGGTAATTTTGGATGTTGGTGGGTCTTATAAAAAATATGCCGTGCCAGGCCAGCAGCGTGCCTCAGCAGTTAAGCATCGACCTAGGATCCAGGAGATCTTGGTTCAATTCACTGTCAGGGCACATGCCCGGTTGCAGGCTGGATCCACGGGGGGGTGGAGGGGTGCAGAAGACAGACGATTAATGACTCTCTCATCATTGATGTTTCTCTCTCTCTCTCTCTCTCTCTCTCTCTCTCTCCCCTTTTCCCTTCCTCTCTCTGAAATCAATACAAACATATTAAGAATAAATAAATAAAAACATACTATATATATGTTTTATATCTATAAAGTGGTTAGAGCTTCAGCCCGCCCACCCACCTTTACACTTCTGTTTTCCATCACTTTACAGTGAATGCATGCCATTTTAATCATCGGGGGGAAAGCCAACCATAGGGGGAAAATGTCTTTCCAGGGCTTGGCTCCATCTGGGTGTGGTACATGACACAGAGCATTTTAAAAACTGAAAAGGGCTGTGCAATGAGAGTCACTGGTGCTAAAAGTAAAGGAGCAGAAACATGGCTCATCACACAGCTGGACTGGTAGGGCTTCTGGGTTCCAGACCAGTTCTGCCTCTAACTTACTATTTGGCCTTGGACAAATCATGGGGCCTCTTGGACCCTTGGTTTTTCCATCTGTAGAAAGTTGGCCCAGATACCTTCCAAACTGCCACTAGCCCTGGTAACCCAGAATCTGGAATGTGGTGACCTCTTACCACGTTTGGGTTGAAGGGTGGAGTCAGCCTCTTGTGGTACAAGTCATCCCAGTTTATGGGGCTGAAGAACACGTGGTTCTTTATCTCAATCTGCGGGAAGAAGGTGCCGATCAGAGGCCGCCCTCCCCATAGTGCTCCCACCCCACCTCCACAGGGCCCTGAGCTCCAGCTCTATCGGCAGCTGGCTGTGAAGCCCTAAAACCTTTGCTGAGAAAGTAACTTCTACCTCTGGCTGGTTTCCTGGGACAATGGGGCATTCTGCAGCCAGGCACTCCCCTTCTTGATCATCAGGAACCCAAACCCTTTCCCCCATGACATTTGTTTATTCCACATCTATTTACTGAATACCTACTCTGTGCCAGCACCGTGGTAGGCTTTGGCAGTATGTCATTGAGCAAGACAGCAGAACCTGCCCTGGGGGTTCCCAGGGGATCGTGGGGACCTCGCCCCACTCTGCCTTAGTGCATTTTGACTCTTCCAAAACGCAAAGCAGAGAAATAGACAAATGAACTCACTATAGAAGGTTTAGGAAGGAAAGCCCCAGGAAAAGCTGTAGGTTCTCAGGGACCCAGAATTTAGGACTCAGCTCTGGCCGTGTTTCACCCCTTTTTTCCTGCTGCAAACCAATGTCAACTTTCTCTTGTCCCTGCAGGACCCTCTATCTGTGTTTCTCAAAGAATGATTCTCCGGCCGCCTGTATCAAATTACCACCTTCTGGACTTGTTAAAAAGCCAGATCCAAAATATCCCAGATACCTAAAAACTGGTAACACTGGTTGCCTCTAAATTAAGGAACTGGGTAGCTGGAGGGACTTTTTCTGAATATTCTTTGAACTTTGATCTAAGTGAATATATCTTATTGTTTAAATCATACATATTTTTTACCATGCAAATTTCCACCTGGAAGGAGTGGACTGGTCCTCATGAAAATCCCATTCTTTAAGCTAACCAGGGATGGGAAGGCAAATGCCCTAAATGTTGTTATGTTTCACAGTATCTAACATGTAGGGCTGTCTGTAAAAACACTTAAAAAGGATTTACTATGTGCCAGGCATTGGCCTAAGTGCTTTGCATATCTTAATCCATGATCTTAGTAGCATGAGCTAGGTGCTATTATTACAGGTAGGGAAACTGAGGCTCACCAAGAGAAGTTAAGCATAAGTGGTGGAGGGGGGATCTGAACCCAGGTAGCCTGTCTCCTAGTTCATGCATCTCAACCACAATGCTAGAAGAGAAAACAAAGTTCTAGGAAGAAGAGTACTGTGGTCTTCCTTTTATAAATCCAAATGGTCATTGGTTGAGCAGGTAATGTAAGATTATATTTTTTAAATGCTACTTTAATAATAACTTTAGAAGCCAACATATAATAAATTTGTTAAGGGAATAGACTGTGAATTATTGATCTCTATATCGTGAGTGCCCAGCCTGGGCAGTGGCAAGGAGGAAGCGCTCAGATATTTGTGAAAAGCCAGTCCACTCCACTTTATACAGAAGCCAGAGGAATTTCTTAAAACTTGAATTGGGTCTTACCACACCCGTGCTCAACATACACTAAAGTGTACCACTCTCCCGTTCCCACCACAGGACTTTTGCACATGCTGCCCTGGGTCGGATGCCTCCTCCCAGCTCTGTATGACTGTTTCCTTCTCATCCTTCAAGTCTCAGCTTAATTGTCACCTCCTCAGAGAGGACCTCCCTGATCATGCCAGTGTGAGTTCACCCCCCCATTACTATCTCAGCTCATTATTTATTTCCTGACACTTGTCACACTCTGTAATTATTGTATATATTTGTTCATTGTCTGCCTCCCCCCAATAAGCTTGATAAGGGCAGAGACCCAGTCTACCGAATCCCTAGCACCTAGCTCAATGTCTGGCACAAAGCAGGTGCTCAGTAGAGAAGCCGAACAGAAGAACTAGACTGAAGGGAGTAATCAGGCAGCAGAAGCTATGAATTTCCAATGAACAAATTAGCAGTGCTTGGTTTCACAGGACAGCTGCCTCTGAAGGAAGGGGCCAGCGCTCCACTGGCAAGTCACCTACAAAGTCTGCTTTGGAGCCCAGCCGCTGCTTCTTGTCCTTGTGGAGAAGGGCTTGCAGGAGGTCACAGGCCGCCACTGTCCGGCCCCCAGGGATCTGTAGTGGCTGATGCAGGATGTTGTCATACATCTGGGATACGTCTCGGCTGTAGAAGGGTGGCTGGTGAAAGAGGGAGAGAGCTGGAGGATCATCCATGTTCAAGTGGGCACAGGTCTCAGAGAGACCTGGAGCAAAGCTGGGTCGCTGGACAGATTCAGCCAGGCCCGCATCTTGTATAGTGGCTCACGTGGCAGACTGGAGAGGGACGGAGACCTCTGGGCTTCTAGCACAGTGGAGAGGGCTGCTGGGAAGGCTGAGGAGTCTCTTTTCACCAGTGTAAGACTTGTGGGCCTCCTGGGAGCATCCCCTATCCCACCTCTCTTAATCCGGCTTGTGCACCAACTTTGCACTTTTCAAAGGTCACCTCCCCCCACACACACACTTCGTCGTTTCATCCCAGCCTCACAACCGTCCCTGGAGACAGGTAATAATTTTTCAGATGAGAAGACAAGGCTCAGAGAGGTTAAAGCCTGTGGCATAGCTCAGAAGAGAGTCAGGCCCCAAACCCTATCCAGAGCCCACCTTTCCTGGTGCTCTTCCTCCCACCTCCTCTGCCAGCTCTTCCTTCTCCAGCCTCCACAGAGCCTGTTCCTTCAGACCCACCAAGCTCTGCTGACGAAGCCCCCCCAGAGTGAAGCCTGGCCTGGGGCGGGTCTACACATGCCTCCATCTAAGCAGGCAGCCTAGGATTGGGTCCAGGGCTGGTCCCACAACCTACCAGCACTGTGACCTTTCTGGGCCTCAGTTTCCCTTTCAGTAAATTAAGAACAACTCCATTTCCTGCAGCTACCCTCCAAAGGCTGTTTTGAGGCACCAAAGGAGTAACATAGGAGATGGTATATTATAAGTGCTGAACTGACAGTATTTAAAAAAAATACATATCATCCTTGTATTCACTTTGGCGTCATCTTTTTTAGCTTGGAGTGGAAACCCACTCCATCTCTCCCCAGAGCCAGACGTCCCTTGCAGACAGCTCCACCCCACTCACCAGGCCATGCAGCATCTCGTAGAGGACGGCCCCCAAACACCACCAGTCCACTGCCCGATCATAAGGCTCTTTACGAAGTACTTCTGGAGCCAAGTACTGTTGAGGGGAAACACACTTATCTGAGGGGAAAGACCCTCAGCCTCAGTCTCCTCATCTGTAAACAAGGTGCTTGGAGAAAAAGATCGTGGGAGAGATAACATGTTGGGGTCAGTCTCCTACACGAGCCAGGGTGCCATGTCCCCTGCTCCCTGCCCTGGCAACATCCAAAGAAGGGATAGCTGGGCTGCCAGACTTTGGGAGACCAGCCCCATCCAGCAGACACCCTGCCATACATAAACACAGACAATGGCTACTGCTCAAAGAGGTCATCTGTCCATCAGCTACCCTAAAACCAAATTGAGGAGGCCCAGCTGAGATCTGAAACCCAGATTTTCTTTTTTCTTTTTTTTTTTAAATATATTTGGTGTATTCTCTCTTTCTTTCTTTCTTTCTTTCTTTCTTTCTTTCTTTCTTTCTTTCTTTCTTTCTTATTTTTTAAAAAAATATGTCTATTGATTTCAGAGAGAGGAAGGGAGAGGGAGAGAGAGGGAGAGAGAAACATCAATGATGAGAGAGAGTCATTGATCGGCTGCCTCCTGCACGCTCCCTGCTGGAGGTTGAGCCGGAAACCCAGACATGTGCCCTGACCAGGAATTGAACTGCAATCTATTGGATCCTAGGTCGGTGCTCAACTGCTGAGCCACACCCGCCAGGCTGAAACCCAGATTTTCAAGCACAGGTTGAAAAATAGAGCAGCTAAAGCCCTGTCCCCTGCCAGGTTAGGTGGAACTTCCTAGGCCTGCAGCCTCGGCCTCACAACCCCACCCAGACATCTGTCCAAGCACTTAGTGACTCCTTCTGGTCCAACATCCAGCACTAGTGGGAGTTTAAGGAAAGGTTTGAGCCCCAAGGCTGCATAGAGGCCTTGGCAGGACAGACAGACATGTGTGAATTACTGCTGAGACCCACAAATTCTAACCCTCCAGGCTCTTGGTGAATAGAAAAGGGTGGAAATAAAGTTCTTCCTTCATACTTGCAAGCCCTGATCTTAACTGTCAGGCTAGGACCTCCTGTTACACACCCTGTAGGCCAGTGCTGTCCAATACAGTAGCCACTATCCACGTGTGCCCACCAGACACTTGAAATGTGGCTGATCAGAGCTGAGATGGCCCAGCAGTGTGAAACAGACACTGACTTCAAAGACTTAGAAAATATCTCAACAACTTTATATTGATTGTATGTTGAAATGACAATATTTTGTATATATTGGGTTAATTAAAATATATTATTAAAATTAATTTCACCTGTTTCTTTTTACTTTTTAAACGTGGCCACTGGAGAAGTTCAATTGCCTACATGTTTGCATTTCTGTTTCTATTTCTACTGGACATCACTGTGGCAGAATCGCCAGCAGGTGGCTGGGTCCCAGCAGCCCCCAGAGCTGATGCCCCCATTACGCAGATGAGCGCACAGGCACCTCTGGGGAAGTGCTTGAGTGGAGGGTGAGCCCCTTTAGGTGTAGCCTGTTGCCTCTAATCAGGAGATGTGGCCTCAGTCACTCATAGCCTGCCTTCTCTTAGGAGGTTGAGCTCACCTCAGGGGTGCCACAGAATGTGGACGTGGTCTCCTCCGGCTCTACACCTTCCTTGCAGAGGCCAAAATCTGTCAGAACCACGTGTCCCTGCGGAGGAGGGAGGGCAGGGGCAGGAAAGTGGTCTAAGATAAAGGTACGGCCAGGCCTAACCCCAATGCCCAGATGCCACCCTGCAGGGCAGCAGCCCTGGGGTCCAGTGCCCCTGCACAGGTTGAGGCTATACTCAGAGACCCAGGACTTCTGGACTGGGAGCAGCACAGGGGCAAGGTGGGGAGACGGTATTTCAAAGACTTAGAAAATATCTCAACAACTTTATATTGATTGTATGTTGAAATGACAATATTTTGTATATATTGGGTCAATTAAAATATTAAGTAATTAATGTTTTAATATTTTAAAATATTAATTAAAATATTAATTAATTAATTTAATATTAATTAAATATTGAGGAAACTCAATCTAAGACAGGGAGGGACTACAAAACCCACAAGCCTCTACCTGGCTTCACCTCTGCCTTCTATAGACCTCCTGTACACAGATGTGCACATACAGGTACATATACACATGGTCTCATGTGTACATGATGCATATATGCGTGCATGTACACATGTATGGCCATGTGCACACACATATTTTAATGCATCCCTACACAATGCATGCACATCCATGCACACACTTGTGGGTACACAGCATACATGTGCAACAATGCACACGCAGACACACAAACCTGGCAGTCCAAGAGAATGTTCTCTGGTTTCAGGTCCCTGCAGAAAATGAGAAAAGCACATTGTGATGGCTCAGCCACTTAGTGAGGACAGTTGGGGATCTGGGGTCCTGTTGGGAGGACTATTGAGAGAGGCTCACAGAGATGTCCAGGGAAGCCCAGGGAGGATGGTCACTTGATCCTAGAAAGGAGGAGGCGCCCACCCTACCCCACTGGGGACATTCTCCTCAGACGAAGGACCAGTTCACTGGCGTTTCATCAGGATTTAGGGGCCACACAAACCCCTGGCTGTTGGGGCAGAGGGCCCAGGCCTGCCTCTGAGCCACAGCAGGCCTCACCTGTAGATGATGTTGAGGGAGTGCAGATAGCCAATGGCACTGGCCACCTCGGCGGCGTAGAACCGGGCCCGGGGCTCCAGGAACCTGCGCTCCCGCTGCAGGTGGAAGAAGAGCTGGAGGGGGAGGACACCTGTGAGAGGGTTTCCTGGGGCGCTCCAGTCCCTAGAGTGGAGGGGGGGCAGCTGGCCAAGTCACCCCCTCTCTGAGCGGCAATGTACTCAGACAACAAAGGGCATGTAGGCCCCCACCCTATATAGCAGTTGTCGGGTGTCCAAAGGTCAGCAGGGGAGCTTAATTAGCATGGATTGAGCACCTATTGTGTTCCAGGCTCCGAGCCAGAACCTTTCACATCTCTTATCAGTTCCTCATGACCCTCTTCAAGGTATCAAATATGATGGTAGTTTCACCTAAGAGGAAACTGGGAGGGGTCAGAGACGTCAGGTGACTTGCCAAGCAAGCTCATGTAGCTTGCAATTGGCAGAGCTGGGATCTGAAACTGGGTGGTTCAACCATGTATTTTTCTTCTCACCCAGGTGATAAGATTATTATGGCTGAGTCAAACTCAGCCCAGGTTAGATCTGCCCGTGGACCAATGGCTTTGGTATGTTCTGCTGGCCTGGAAAACTATTCACCTCCTCCAGGAGACTTAGGGATGTAGGACAAAAACTCCCCTCCTGGCATCAGGCCAAAAGGCATAAGGTCACAGAGTTTAAATCTGGGGTCACTGAGAAGGCCCCACTAAGTTTTGCCAGAGTGAAGTCCAGGAGGGAACTCAGCTCATGCAGTTGTGCTGCTAGGGCACCAGGGGGCCTCAGGTCTCCATTTACCACAGTGACAGGTCACCCCCACCAGAGGCCTCTGGTGTAAAACTGGGACATTGCAAATCTTGACCACAGAGCTCCTCTAACATTGACCTTTCCTAGGTGAGGTTGGGCAGCTTAGCAGGGGGAAGTCACCACAGACCCACATGCCAGTCCTGGCTCTGCCAGTTACGGGCTGCATGGCCTTGAGCAACTGAGTTAGCTCCTGAGCCTGGGCTTCTTCAGCCACAAAATGGGTCTGTTGTATGGAGAACGTGAGATCATTCCAGAACCTGGTACACAGTGGGTGTGTGGGATGGACCGCTCCCAGCTAAGAGCCCTCCGGGGAGCTCCCTGCGGTCCCACCCACCTCTCCTCCGTTGACGTAGTCGAGCACAAAGTAGAGCTTCTCGGGCGTCTGGAAGGAGTAGCGCAAGCCCACGAGGAAGGGGTGCCGCACGTTCTTCAGAAGCACGTTGCGCTCCGCCATGATGTGGTTCTGCTGCGGGGTCACAAAGACCGGGCGCCGTGTCACAGCCCGCAGGGCCTCGCCCAGAACCTTCCCATGCCCCTCCTCAGACACCCACTGTGGCTCCTTATTGCCAGGCCCAGCTCCTTGCCTGGTATTCAGGGTTCTGTGTGGTCAGCCTCATCCCCAGCCAGTGCGTATGGCTGCAGCTCCAGCCCCCAGATCAGAAACCCCTTCCCTCAACCAGGGGGGATAAGCAAAGCATATCCGATTACTGCATGCAGGAGGCCACATTCATGCCTTTGTTCGAGCTGTTTCCCCTGCCTGGACACCCTCTTTTCAGGCCACCGAACCCTACCTTCAAGGCAGCTGCAAGGCCGCCTCCCTCAGGAAGACCTCCCTGACCCACCCCCATGATGTCTTGTTAACGTTAATTCCCTCTCCTGGGTCCCCTGATTTGAGCTTCCCTCTCTGGGCCTGCTCTCTCCTCCTAATGGGGTTGGAGTTAAAGAGACTCAAGTCAGATGAAACATCTGGAACTCCAGGATGGCTGTGGTGGAAGGGCCTTTGGAGAGTAGAAAGTGTGACCCCACACTGTGCAGCTGGGGAGGCAGGCAGAGGACTTGTCCACTGTGGGGCCGTAGTCTCCCCGGGGAGGCACAGGGCTGGGGCTGGCTCCTCCTGCAGGCCTGCGGGTGAAGTTGTTGGCCTGCCTTCCTTGAGAAGGGTGGGCATCCTGGGACCACCTGGTCCCCTGCTGTGACCCCCCCCAAACCCAGCCCATGGACCCCTCACAGTTGGGACCCATCTTGGGAAGCCGCCATCGCCTGGGAGTGGAGGAACAGGGAGGAAATGCTTCTGCCTGAGCTCGATACCTCTTTATTCTTTAAAATGGATTTTTTCTGCAACACCTTCACTGCGTAGAACATCCCGTCAGACTTGCGCTTGGCCAGGAGGACCTGAGCGGAAGCAGAAACGTAAGGCCCTGCAGGTGACCACCCCTCTGACGGCCCTCAGCTCCGGCCCTGCATCCTGGGATCTGCAGGTCGAGAGCTCCCTCTCTGCACATGGAGGGGACAGGCAGGGGATGGAGGAGGCCGGAGAAGGGGGACCCAAGCCTCCCACCTTCACCATGTGACTCACCTTCCCATAGTTGCCTTTGCCAATGACTTTGAGGAAGTCGAAGTCGGTGGGCCGGGCACTGGGGGAAGAGGGAACACAGTCAGCATTTGCAAGATTGTGAAACCCGGTCCTGAGATCAAATCCAGACTTCTTTTTCACTTTGAAGGTGGGCAGCTTTCCTACAGGGAGCTTTCCTACAGCCAAGCCTCCTCACCGCTGAAGAATGCCATGTTCTCCCAGCCAAAAGGGGGCTTGTATGACTGGCCCTGCACCTGGGGACCTCACAATCAGGTAAACAACAGGTAAGGTGGGGAGAAAGCCAGACACCATGGCATAGAAGGTGAGGGAGCTGGCTTCAAAGCCTGAGAGGGGTGGGGAGCTGCTAACAACACAGGCTTTGGGGGCATTCCAGGCTCAGGGCTCAGCATGAGCAGAGGCTGGGGAAGTAGTGGGAGATAAAGCTGGGGGACGGTCCTGGGAAGGTGACAGAGGGTCTTGAAGGTAGACCAGAGAACTTGGATTTTATTCCCAGGGCTAGGGGAGCCAGGTATGAGGGGAGCCAGAGAGGAAAGTTGTTTGAGAGACCAGAACTCACTTTGGGTTGGCTGAAGGCCCCAGGTTGATGTTCCCGTTGGCCCTTGAGGGCTAAAGACATTTACAGAAAGAGGTGATTAATATCAACAGGTCTCTACTCCTGGCTCCCTCCTTTCCCCAGGCCTAGGCCCTGATCCATTCTCCAGCATCTCTACCAGCCTTCCTTCCTTCCTTCCTTCCTTCCTTCCTTCCTTCCTTCCTTCCTTCCTTCCTTCCTTCCTTCCTTC